GACGCAGGACATACATGTGTGGAATCCATGGGGGCTATGGTCACATGACCAAGCACATTGACGTCACATTTCTCCCTGCCAATCCCATCGCTGGCTCATCCTGGCTCACGTCAGTGTTCCTACCAGTGGGAATTAAGACCGCGCTCCCAGCAGAAGGGACAGAAACAGGATCCTTCCCAAAGTTCAGCTTGAAGAACTGCAGACTTGCTTTGTTTGGATTTCCATTAGCCATTTGATAACATTTTCGAGAGCTGGTCATAAAATTAAAGGACATTCAATTCAATGGGAGCGGAACATGCATAGATACAGAAATTAAACAGGAAGGATCATTTGGAAACATAAAAGGTGATTTAGTGTAATCTTGTGGTAAGGCTGATTTAGGCAAACAATTTGGAAAATGTGTCATTCACATGGAGAGTAACCACTCACATTTTTGTCTGGAAAAAAGATAACAATTGAGCCTGATAAAATAACTATGTGTTAGAATGTCCTGGAAACAGCATTAACTCATTGCATAATCATTTGCATACAATAGTTTCATGAGAAGCCAAGATGACTGTAGGAGTGATGTTATTGAATCTTCAGGTTTTTCAACCCTTTTATCACCATATTAATAGTTGATGGTCGACACTGATAATACAGAGTCCTGCTACATCACTATAACATCTACTGATTGTTCATTACATTAATCCCATAAGAAGCTTATAATTTAAAAGTACAGTCTTTATCCATACAACCAACCTTTAGCTTGTTTGGTTCCCTGTGTTCATTCTATTTCAAGCTTTATGTTTATAGAAACATATAGGAAATTGGACTCTGTCCATTCAAAGTCAGTTATCATGCGGAACTTCCTCCTGCATTCCAGTTTCAAATACTTGCTGGTAGGACACAATAATCTTTTCACGACTGCTGCCTTCCCTGATATTCTTGTTCTAATATCTGTGAGTATTTGTCTGATGGCAGATCTGGACTAACTGGTTTCCTTCCTTTGGGAAAGAAAAGATCATCGCAGTAGAAAAATATTTTTACAAAGGGTGAGAAATTTTGGCCTTAATGATTGTTTATACCACTACCAAGGAAGTCAAGTCCTGATTTTCCAGACCTGGGTACTGTTCCGGTCTGGCAATCAGAGGAACTATCTCACTACCTGTGTTTTCTGAGATTCATAGTGTGCTGGTCCCTGTCTCTAAGAATAACTTATGTCAACATGATGTCCAATGTACTGCCTGATTCTCACTCTAAAAAATTCTCATCTGAGCCTCAGTTTCATTACATGTATTTGTGATGGATGTGAATGAAATCTGGTTTGTAAAATAGTTTTTCCTCATACTGTTTCCGCCTGGTGATTGGCAAGACCTGCTGACCCTTGTCTGGAATCTCAGCTTTAAGCAGGTTAACTTCTGCAGATTCAACTATAACATAATGCGAGAGCTTCCAGGGATTGGGAATTGCTGATCAGGTTACTTCTGTATTTCCCTGAATGTGACACAAGTTGATTGGGTTAAATAAAACGGCCATTTCATCTCTGTGTATTTATTTGGTGAAATCTGCACGTAGCATGTGTATCCAAAACGCCTGCTGTCCTAGTTACATGAAAACATCTTGTGTCTGTGATGCATGTCTATGTTCCGCTCACACCCGTAATCCAAGTGACATTTAAATGACATCACAATTTCTGATTTCTTGAGTAGAAATTCATACAGTACAGTGGTGCAGATGAACTGGTCCTAACTATTGTTTTGTACCTATTGTGCATCATTTAAACCAGGGGTTATTCTTTGGGTTTTTTTAAGGAAAAGGACATAAGAGGGGTCATAATTCATACAAAGGGGCCAACCTTTTCATTAGCCAATGATATGTTTTGAATCAGTGAGTGACAGGGAGTTGGGGAATCTGGGGGCCAATCAGCTTTCAGCTGGGGTCAGTGCCCCTGTGACCCATATATATGCCCTTGATCATTGAATGAATTCACAAGCATGACTGCCCTGATATCCAAAGCTATCTCTGCCTGGCGCTGGCATGAAAGAGGGAGAAGGAGAGCGGTGCAGCTCAGCACGACCCCAGGAGAGGGACACGCTCGGCGCGAAGGTCCGGGGAGACGTGAGCTTCACCACTCTGCTCCAGCAGGTAACTGAGCAGCAGGGGTGCAGCGCTACCAAAAGTAAATGACAGTCATCACCAGGAGCAGCTACCACCAAGCCGGGCGAGAGACACTGGGTGCCCCTGAATCACGTCCGAATGACGTCCCAAAGCCGGCTGAGGTGTAGCGGGCTGCCCCACCCCCCCCCCCGCCCCCAAGTATCCCCGTGTGGGAAAACAGACAAAGAGCAAAATATAACAGATCTGAGAAACACACCCTTGGTGTAAACATGTAATAGACACTCAATGTTCACTTTATAAGGCACCTCCACATAGTACTAGGGTGGATCCCCTTTTCATTACCAGAACCACTTCCAGGGTCCATAAATGTTCAGGGGAACCTTTCTGCACCCTGCCGTTGTACTGAGCTGTTATTTTAGCACTTGTGGCTGGTCCCATTAGCCTTAACGAGTCTGGCCATTCTCCTCTGACCTCACTCATGAATAAGGTATTTTTTGCCAACTGCCATTGAATGTTGTTTGTTTGCCGCACTATTTTCTACAAACTCTAGACACTGCAGCGTGCGAGAATCCCAAGAGGCCGGCTGCTTCTAAGATGCCGGAACCGGCTCGTCTGGCGGCAACAATCACACGTATATCATGCATCATAGCTGTTCGGATGAGTGATCCCGTTAACCTTGTCGGCTGGCTGTGTGCATCCGTTTGCGGCCGTGTGATTCGAGCAGGTCGCTTGCTATAATTAGCAAGTAGGTGTAGCTAATAATGTGACCACTGACGGTGCGTAACGTAAGAGTTTTCATTATGAAAACATGAACTGAATGTTATGATTGTGTTAATCGTTTTGCAAAAGCAACATTTAAAAAAACACAACTAGTAAAACTTATAATATTAGCAAGAATTGAGGAGCACTGCGGTCATGATGGTGAACAGACGTGTTACTTTGAAGAGTGCATTTTGCGCTGTGATTGTACGTAGGTGATGGGTGCCTGCATTTTGTGTTATTACCATATGTCAGTAATAGTGTCAGTTATGTGTTCATGTGGTAATTGGTAGCGACTTCTCCAAGGTAACTGGGAGAACCACTCTGATTGGTCCGGTGAATAGGCATCCCAGCAGATGCCCGCCTCCTATTGGAGGACCCAGCAGTGCCCCCAAACCCAGAGGACGGACATGGACAGCTGCTGTGCCATCAGGGGCCATGTTTCAGTGTCTGCAGTGGGCGCGTGATTGCGACATGAGGCCGAGTTTGGTGTGACGGGTAACATTAGATCACAGGGACTTCAGGCGGTGCAACTTGCGTAGATGGGTGACGGACGCGGCCGCCCACAGACCCTCTTAACACGGTATCCAATTACATGAGTGTGTAACATTTATCTAAATATTAATGCCCGTGTCGAGGGGTCCAGATCTTCTCAGTAAACCACCACAACTGAGTTCTGTCATTGACCATGCAGAATCCATTTGAATCATGACGTAGTCATGAAGCCACAAGCATTACATGCAAACAGGAGCAGAATGGATCCAATCCCAAAAGCGCTTCCCTGGATACAAACCGCCAGGACAGAATTGGGGTGAGCCTGTATTGCCTGTAGTTACCTGTAGGGGGTGCACCTGTCTTGCACGCTATTTCAGAAAGAGCCTATGGAATGGGAGGTTCTTCTCAGATTTACACTCTCACGTGGAGCGCGAACACAAATATATCCATACTTGTGTGCTTGTTTAGCAAGAGTGGTGGACAGATAAGATCAGATGAAGAGCACCGGATTACAAGACCACACACACACACATTTAGAGTTGTTATGATTTGTCGCTCAATTCGCATGGCAATAAATGTGAGTGACTGCACTGCATGCTGTGAAGAGGCTGAAAGGTCACGTCCCTGGAATGAGACCTGATTTTACTGTTGGCTTCTTCATCACCAACACCTTCCCCCTCTTCACTAGTGTCCGGCACTTTAGCCCAGGAAAGCAGGCTGTGACCAGGCTTTCATGCACATTAAGGGGACTGAGAGTCACCAGAACTCCATCAGTCCAGGTTCCTTCCATTCCCCCCCTCTGCTGCCCTTTCGCTGCTCCCCAGAGCCCATCTGTTGCTTCACGGCTTTGTACACTTTGTGTGCGATGTTGGTTTTATAAGTAAATAAGACTCCTGTAATAAAGGGGAGAGCCTCCATCGTTCTCCCGTCTCCCAGGTAACGCACATCTGTTGTTTGCTATTGGTCACTAAGTGTCCTGGATGCTGCTGCAGAGATAAAGCTCACTTGATTCCCTGGCTGTCTTCTTGGACACCATCTTACAGCTAGATCTAGAATAGAATACTGATACTGTATTATATTGATCCCTGGGGGAAATTCTGTCTTCGCATGTCTGATCTTACTCTGACACGCAGACACATATGTAGGTGACAGCAAGCTTGGGGGGTCACAGCTCAGAGTCAGACAGGGTACATCTCTCCTGGAGCAACTAGTCAAGGGCCCAATGGTGGCATCAGTCTGCTGTCCCCAGGATATGGACCGGTGACCTTCCGATCACGGACCTGCTGAGCCACACACCGTCTCTGGAAATTTTGCCATTGTAACAGTCTGTATCAGCAGCTCTGTCAGATCTCGTGCTCTGAAATGCCATAGTGTGTTTTTCGAAACCACGCAGTCACTGTGAAAAACATCTCCCATTTTAAACACTATTATCAACACCAAGTTCACTCTCCTCTAAAGGAAAGACTGTCTCCAAAATGACGGCTACATTCACTGTGTCACCCACAACTTTGTTTTTCACTCTGCGCTGATAACAGGATTCTGTGTGTATGCCGTTCTGTCTTTCTTTGGTAAATGTAGGTTCAACAAATATAAGTTTTCCACAAAAAAGGTTTTAAAAAGTAGCATTACAGTGGAGAAAATGTAGGGAAGTAGAGAAATGTAGTTTTAATGCATGGTACCCTCCACCCTATCTCTGTTTGATCACGTAATTTCTCTCGCATCACAGGTACATTCTCCCTGGCACTCGTCATGACAGATTCAGTACAGTTATTCTCATCATCTGCACACCCCTTCTCCGTGGTGTCAAGGATGCCCTCTCAGTATTCGACTACAGCCGTGGAGCATGGCAAGCAGAATTCAGCAGGGGGGATGGAGAAAGAGAAAACATGGAGGGAGCTAGAGAATGGAGAACTGGATTTCCAAGACATCCGGGCAATTGGGAATGCAGCATGGAGGGTGACGTTTATCCTGCATTGCTGTATAGATTATGTAGATTTCTTGTTTGGGATCGAATGATGATGGAGTCCAGATCATCTGGAAAACTAGAAATAATGGTAGTGTTACGAGTCCTTACTGGGCTGTGGTGGAGGTCCCCCTGAAAGCTGATAGTGGCACAGTTGGTATGACTGTCCCCTTGCTGAATGGGGGGCATCTCCTCTAGCACTCTGACCGGTCCGCTTCTTCTTGACCAGGATAAACTCCGTCTCGCCCCCTCCCCGAAATATGAGCTTGTGTTGGACAGAACTTGCATCAACCCCAAGCCCTCTGAAATCCAAAGTAGGAGCGGTTAGGCCAGCCAGTAAACGTCACAGCACTGCATGAACTGATTTGGCATCCGGCGTAAAAGAGAATCCTTCAGAACGACACTTACTTCCACATATTAGTGCTCTGCTCCTTGACCTTTCAAAAGGCCCTTGATGAATCTCTTTGACGTTTCCCTTTTCCTCCCTCTCTCTGTGGTGGAGATGCTGGCCCTCATGCTCAACACGTCACCATATAGTGCCTGCGGACCAATATGCCCCAGCTGGGAGACACTGTTTGCCAATAACAGCCTGAGGAAGAGACACTGTATTCCCACTCCGCGAGGTCTTTGGCGCATTCTGCAGATCACTGAAGCTCAAATAAATCTCCGTTCTGTGACACGTGCAGCAGCTGTGTGATAGTTCCAGTTTTGAATGGAAGTTACTGCAAACAACTTTAAGTAGTTCCTCATGCTCCAGCCCCTGACGGGATCTATTTGGGTAAATGTTATCTTTCTAGACACGGGACTAGCACAACACGGAAGTAAACACGTACCACATACGACACGTGTCATCCTGACAGATTTCTCATGTGTCATGGAATTCCTGTCACCGATTTAGAGAAACCAGTGTAGTACTTAATATTCTGCAACACGAGGAGAAGGAGACATGGCTGTCATTGACCCCCACAGGTGCATGCCGTCGAGTTCATTTGGGATACCGTTGCCATGTCAACACAAGCCTGTGCGTCACCCCTGGTCACTCCCATCTTCCTACCTTCCTCATGATGGCTCCCCCCTCCCCCCTCTAGTATTGTGGGAGCACGTGCCAACTGTGGACAGAAAGGCCATCGTCCCCCGGTCAGAAGCACCGGTGACAGGATTTACATGACTCAGAGTCATTGGATGATTGTTTATGTTTTGGCAGTGGAAGGTTCTGGAAAAGTACTGTGACTCGGCATTGGGGCACGTTATCCAGTAGGACGCCGTGTCCGTTTCATGTGTAGCTGAGGGTCAGACTGGCGCAGGCAGTACATTATTAGCATGGAGATTACGGATGCGTAAGCACATACCCACAAATGCTGAGTGAAGGGCACAGAGAGATTCCTGTTATGGAGTGAATATCGTGAATGTCACCTACATTACCCTTGAGTCTATACTTTGCGCTCAGTTTTTACTGAGGTTGATGGGAAATATGCACGATGTTGAAGATACTTCATGTGAAGTAATTATGTGAACCACCCCAAAACAGCGTTGGATAAAATTAACCCCCCTTAAATGGAATAGTCTCTTCTAGTCAGTGCAGAATTTTGGGGTGGCATTGCAGATTAGTGATGGTGATTAACCCCTTTAATGAGAAGCACAGAGAAGAGGCTGAAATTGGACCCAGACCAACTTCAAGCATCACCACCATGACCCTAGAGAAGACCATGTCGACCTGAGATCTTGAGACCAGGGCCACAAGATCAAGATTCTCCACATACAACTGGAGACCAAGCCGTGCAGATATCTGGGGCTTCAGCCATGGTGCAGTAGGCAGCAGGTGTCCGTGCCACTTTACGGTCGACAGCAGCAGCCAATGGTGATGCATGCATGACATGCAGGTCTTTATGGTCATGCTACTGGCACGCATTTGCAGTTGACATACTTCAGGGAAGAAGGAATGATATCACATCATAGAGAAAGAGAGAGAGGAACAGAGGTGCTGTGACCATGTTTCCTTAGGTCAGGAAGATCACTGCAGCTCAGTCCAGCAACACGTTCCCTGGATTTCTACCCCACTTTCCATCCAAGTTGTCACCATATTAGCTTCCCTCCAATAAGCACCTCCCAACCTTCAGAGGAGCTATAATTGGAAGCTTGCAGCCCTCAGCATGTCACCTGACCTGGAAGCACCAGAGGAACAAACACTCCTGCATTTCCACCCCTTTCCTTATGTTATGCCAGATCGCTGATAATAGAACAACCTTTAGCCTGGGCGGTTGCCGTGTTCCTCGGCGCCATGCGCGACATTCACGACAAGCCGCGCTTGTTCCTCTCAGGCCGGCCTGGGTCGCAGCTGAATCTGGGGGACTGGAGGGAGCAGAAGTGTTACCACGTGTGCGAGTCGGCCCGTATGCGTGTGTCACCCCTACGGGTATCAGCATATTGATCTGATCGCGATGCCACTACCGCGGGTGTTTACACACAAGAAGCAGAAATGGCCTGGAGCAGTTCTGCCCGCTCGTCACGGCATGCGAATGCCAAAGAAAAATCACTGGGGCAAAATTCAACAGCAGAGAAGTTCAGCCTGTGCCATTATTTTCCGCTTCTCAGGTTGTGTAGTTCTGCTGTGGAATGAATTGGAGCATTTAGTAAACACCTGTAATGGAAAGCAGGATCATGAGGTGACCCTGCCGCAGGACATGTGACTCCAGGCAGCCGTGGTGACCCTCAAACCATCAGGATTGTAGGCCTGAGTCCAGTTTTGAAGCTTGCGGTGTCCTGTGTCAGTCACCACCCTTTACATCCATCCATTTTCTGTAACCACTTGTTCTTTGTAGGGTCAAGGGGGGTCTGGATCTCAAATGCTAGGGGCTCAAGGCAGGGAATAACCCAAGATGGGGAAATGGTAACTCTAATTAACCACAGCGTGTTTTTGGACTGGGGGAAAATCGGAGAACCCAGAGGAAGCCGCACAATGACACAGGGAGAACATGCAAACTCCACACATATGGAGCCATAGGGGAGCCTCGAAACCCGGTGTGAGGCAAGAGTGCTGACCACTGCACCATCATGCTGCCCCCCTTAATCTACATATCCAACTAAATCCTGTACCCCCCCCCCCAGCATCACTGTATTTGTATATCCCCATCACATCCACTTTCCTAGTAGAAAACCAGCCAACGGACCCCCGAGATTTCAGCCTGGAAACAGACGGTAAGCCGAACACTCCCCAGGAATGAAGGAGGTCAGCACTGTGACACAGAGCAAGGGATTTGGTTATTTTCCCACATGAAAATGGAGTTCCATAGCCTCAGGACACTGGAGATGGTAAACCAACCTCAGTCACACATATGCATGTTCTTCAGAACAAACAGATTCTCATTGGACTGCAAAGAAACTCAAAGTGAAGGATTAGCAACTCTCCTCTGAGTTTATTATGCTTTTGTGCATTTCTGCGTCTTTGGAAATGCTTCCAGCTGGACATATTTTCTGAGGGTAAAGACTCATTATTGATAATCAACTTCACACCCACCGGCCCTTCAGCACCTAATTAATAGCCTTGTAAACTGATGTCTGAGCACTGCCAACATAGGGGGTGACGCCGGGTCAAGCAAAGAGAGCGGCAGAGGTGGACGACAAAGACAATGCTGACAGAAGGAAATCAAGAAGAATGAGGTGAAGTGTATAGAATGGAAGATCTGCAACCTGTATGATCTGTACAGCTATTGTTGGTGGTGTTACACAAGTACTGTGGTCCAGCCAAACCTGAGGGTTATCTGTATATTTCAGGAAGGGACAGGACATTCATGCTGATCCAGAACCATAAAGATATCAGTACTGGGAATAGGCTGCAGAAGACAAAGTCTGTTCAGATGCAGCTTTCGGTAGTTTGAGGCACTAGGCCAGTCTGGTTTATGGTGCTATGCCATAAAGCACGTAGACTCATATCATCCACATTCAGGGCAATGTGGGGGGCACAGGTGTCTCCAAGTCAGATGTTTCCTCAAAATCCTGATGAGTCAGGGTTGAGGTGTGACGACTACGATGTCCATGACTGGAGAGCCTTTAAAATGGCACCCCATATCTTCATCCATAAATAACACACACAACTCACTGATTCCAGGTCAGTTACATAGCTTGCCTTCAGTACTGCCTATAAACTGTACCTATAAACATTTGTGTGAGATGGAACACACATCGTTTAAAAACCTCAAACAGTTGAAGTCATGGTTTGGGATGATGCCAGCTTTCACTGTGTAGAGGCACAGACTCCGTGGGAATTCATGTTGGTCTACCTACTCCATCGTGATGACATAATCGAGGAGCCCCACCAATCACAGTGGACCATTTCTCCCATGATACATTGCTTTTAGCTCAATGCATAGGAGAATTTTCATGCAGTAGTATGATTAATTATTTGTATACTAATTACACGTTAATTTGAGTTAATGACTCCATGTATTTAGTGTTTAGATGCAGTTATAGCTTTTTTTAAAACATTTTTTTAAATGTCTGATTCTGATCTTCAGTTAACAGCTTGTTACAAAACTATACTATAAAGTGGCTATTAAATGCTTGGGGAGTTAATTCCACGTCTGTGGCCTCTGGCTTAGTTTCAAATAAGATGATGAAATTTTAATGAAAAACTGCAGTTGAATGGGCGGGAGGCTTTATGAGTAAGAGAAGATGGGAGGATTGAATGAGATTTACATTAAAAAGGGATCTTATGGGACAAGACGACCCTGTTTTCTGTATGCCCTGTCTGCTTCTCCAATCTATCTTTCATTATAGCTCCTTCCTGGCTACCCAGACTGTACTGAACACAGGAAGTGGCACCTCCTGGCCAGCAGGAGGCAGAGGCGGGACCACGTGGCCGTCCTCGCCGGCTGGGTGACGCCAAGCAATGTCTCCGGCCTCACAGGACGACGCAGCTGTCGCGGTCAGCACCGACACGGGGAATCCAATGACTGCCGTCTCTGCAGCTGTGCACTCTGGTAATTGAGGCTTAAGGAACACAAGCAGGGACACGTGCATGCATACACACGCACGCACACACACGTACACACATGCATACACGCACACTCACATTAGGTATGTACATCTTTGTGTGGACTCTCCATTCATTTCTATGGGAAAAACCAGAATCTGAACTATGACAACCCTTACCCAGCCCTAATCTTAACCATAAGTAACCAAACAAAATACAAAACTTTTGGCATTTTTATATTTTTGGCACTTATTTTTTTTATTTTAATTAAACTGAGTTTCCCCAAAAAATTTCCCCACAATGTAATATACAGATTCCCAAACAAACACACACACACACACACAGGTCCAGAGCTGAAAAAATGGCAGCCTCAAAACTGTTAATATCCTGAGCAAGTTTGATCAAGAGCAAAAATGTTTATTGGACTGTAAAAGGCAGAAGAGGGCCTTTCAGACATGTGGTTCTGATCCATTACCAGCTGGAACAGCCCTTCACGCTGCAGGTTCTGTGGCTCGCATGTGGTTACCCATCGACCTGGCTGGGATACTGAGAACACGGTGGAACCTGGAGTCCATTGCCCCACTGTGGCACTCGGGAGAGCAGAAGAGTCAGAAAAGGGTCCTTGTTTGGGTGGGGACATGATTGATGACGCCTGGACTTCATCTATGGTCATTTACAGTTAGAATGCCTTATAAATATTATTGTTGTGGTTACAGTTATCAGTGCCAGCACTGGGGGGGGGGGCTGAGTTGTAATAACATTTATTTGGTTGTGTAGAGGAAGCATCTGG